TAAAGATTAAGTTTTTAAATTTTATATTAATAAACTATAATTTTTTTGAAAGTTATTTTCTAGAATTATTAATTGGTATAAATGAAATTAGTTATTTACAATATTATTTATTTATTTATTGAAATGATAATATTATTTAAAATTTAAAATATTAATTCCTTGTTAAATTTAATAATCCATAAAATTATACTACTGTTAATACATAATTTTGTTATTTTAACTATTTAAAATATAGTTATATTAAATATTTCGTTATTCAAAGTATTTATTTGTTTAACTAAATATTTAAAATCTTAATCTACTTATTATAAGTGAAATTAATTTAGTAACTATTTAAAATATATTATTAATGATTTAAAATATTAATTTTAATATTTTGTTGTTGAAATATTTAAATATTATTTCATTTTTAATGTTATATTTTTATTATTTGAATAACATTTAGATTGAATAATCCAAGCAAATCATAATTTATATTGTTTGTACATAATTTTGTGATGAATTTAGTAAAAACGTATAAAAATTGATAATATGAATATTATTAAATTGATTATAATTATTTTTGTCGTTTTAATAAATATTTTAATGTTATTATATAATTTTATTAGAATATTAAATAATTCTTATATTTTTTTAATTACAACTTGCTTTAGATAGAAGTAGATAAAAAGTGGGGGAGAAGATAAATGAGAATTAGAGATAACCTAGAAGAAAGTTTGGGAGGTTGTTTAGGGGAAATTTTAGGATATTATATTAACATGTGAGAGAGAGAGAGAGAGAGAGAGATTTGGAAGATTTTTTTGGGAAAGTAGAGTTTCTAATTGGTAGATTATTTAGGTTTTTACAATTATGCCACTACACTTCTACGTTTGTCATATTTGTTAAAAATTGTCTCTATCTCTCATTGTATTTACAATCAGGTCGTGTTGGGCCATGTCATACTTCCCTCCCTTGGGATAGTTTAGGGGGTCACCCTGGCGTAACCCTCGCCCCGACCTTGCATAGGCCTGTCTTGTGCCACAGGCTGGGCTTGCTTACGGGCCAAGTCTTAGGCTATGCCAGGCCACAAATCGAGCCAATCCATGTTTTTTTTTTTTGAAAAAATAATGAAAAAGTTAAGATAAATTTTAAAAATAGATAAATACATTAAAAAATATCTTAAAATTTTATTTTATATGAATTTTGATGTATACAATTGTTTATATATGCAATAATAAAATTATATATTATATAATTATTGTATATAATATGCTGCTCAAGCCCATGCGGGCCTATGCCATGTCGTAGGCTAAGTCTTAGAACATGTTGGGCTACGAAACCAGGCTAAGCCATTTTTTAAAAATAAAAAAAAAAAATAATGAGAATTTTAATATAATTTAAAAAAAATATCTTAAATTTTTATTTTATTCCATGTCTGTACAGGTTCATACTGTGCAACGGGCCAGGCTGGTCCACGGGCAAAGTCTTAGGCTAGGCCAGGCCACAAATCGGTCTAAGCCTGTTCATGGGCTCGGAAGACCTATAGTTCAACTTGACCCATTAACAACACTATATTAATTAATTAAATAATTTGAGATAGCTTTTTCCAATCATGTGTCGATAATACATAAAGTTTTATTTATTTATTTACTTATTTTACTAAACTATTTAATTAGTTAATAATTTAATAATCTAACAAATTATTATTGCCAGGAAAGTAAGATATAGAATAATGTATATATTTATATATATTTACTCTATCACTTGATTGTCTATTTATCTTATTTATTTTCCTAAAGTTATTTATTTATTTATTAAATTAATTATTATTTAACTATTTACAATTATTCCACTATATAAAACAAAAATACAATGACAAATGTCATCTCTCCCTCTTTCACTCTATTGCATGACGGCGATGATTATTTATTTATTTTTTCATTTTATTAAATTAAATATATTATTATCCATATATTTTTTATTTATTTTAAATATATATTTTTTCCAATACACTTTTAATTAAAAAAATTACCTTTCACAAAATTTTTTCCTATATAATAATTTACCTTTGACAAGCCACTTACCATCATGTTATATATTTATATATACATATACTTGCTAGTCCACGTCCATGCTTGCTTTTCCAATGTTTAGCCAATTGGCACTTCTCCCCACTTTCTCCTAAATTGTCTTTAATTCCTATTTATCTCTTAATCTCTAATTTATTAGAGAGATTTCCTCCTAAACTATTTCTAATTCCTCTCCCCCACTTTTTATCTACATCTATACTAAAAAAAGTTTTAATTAAAATTATTCAGAATTATTTAAATATTATAACAAAATTATATACTAACTTTAAAATATTTATTCAAAAGTCAAAAAATAATTATAATAGATTTAATAATATTCATATTATTAATAATTCTATATGTTTACAAAATTCACCATGAAGTTATGTAGTAACAATATAAATTATAATTTTATAAATTATTAAATTTAAATGTTATTCAAATAATAAAAAATTAACATTAAAGTTAAAACATTATTTTAATATTTCAATAATTAAATATCTTAAATAACAAAACATAAAAAATAGCTAAATAATTGTATAACAAAATACTTAATATTACATAATAACATTAAAATAATTAAAATTCAAATAATAATTTTTTTGAATATTTTACATATTATTTAGATATTTAAATAATGAAGTATTAACATTACTTAATTTTAAATACTTAAAATAACTAAATCATGTAATAAATTTAAAAAATTATTAAAAGTAGAAAAATAATTATAATAGATTTCATAATTTTCAATAATTGTGTACTTTTGCTATAAATTTTCAATAATTATTGGAGATTAAACTATTGTTATTTATTAGAGATTATACTATTAGTTTAGCTGAAATTAAGAGTTTTCAAGGGTTGTTGGTTCAGTTCGGTTGCAGGTTGTTTGGCCAACCAAATTGACCTATTTAGGTCAGGAATTTGTCACTCAAAACCAGTTGGCCATTAGTAAAAACCCGCTAGCTCGGGTTGTATCAGTTTGGGTCTATTTTTGCTTGTTCAAAAGATTTAAACTTAAAAAGTTAAATTTAAATTTAATAAACTGTAGTGCTATTATTAAAAAATAAATTAAAAATTTTAAATTTATGATAAAAAATATTTTAGACTAAGAAATATGGGAATTTTCCAACTTTCTTGTATTAAAAAATTATATTTTAAATATAAAATATTAATTTTTATTTTTGGTTAGGTCGGTTTAGTTTTGTTTGGTTTACAAATGGCCAAATCGAAATTAACCAAACTTGGTTGAGTTGAAAAATTGGTAGACTAATACTAGAAAACCAATCAACTCGAGTCGAGTTTTGATTGTATTGGTTATTAAAAAGTTAAAATATAAAACAACTATATACTTCTATGTATTTCTATTCTTCAACTTTTGCTTAATTTGCCACCTCAACGCTCTCTCTCTTCATTCCTCTCACTTTCCATTGGGTTCTCTCTCTCCTCCACAACTCGCATCTCTCGTTTTCTATAACAACCCAACTTCTCTTCTTAATTAGCTCAATATATGTTTTATTCTCCCATTCACTACTATCTATAATTTCCCTATATTTTCTCCACTTTCCCATAAAAATAGTCATAATTTATTAAGATTTGGTTTTTCAAATCAAACAATATTTATATCTATAGATGTGATTTCAAGCAAAATAAAGAGTGGGGAATTCGATGTTTCCTATATATTCATGGCATCTTGCATTATTGTTAAATAATAATCTATTGCTAAATAATCCATTAGTTATGAAAATTATTAAAAAAATCTGGAAAGTACTTTACCAAAAATTATGAAATAATTATTTCAGAAATAATCCATTATTTAACAAATCTTAAATAATTTAATATTCTACCAAAAATTAATAAACAATCCATTATTTAATAATTTTTTGGTATTAATAAATGTTCAAAATTTCAATGTTTATAGTAGTTTACATTAATCATTGTAATTTAATAAAATTTCAAATTTTTACATAAATAATTGATTGATAAAAGATATTACTAATTAGTGTAATTTACTAATGTCTATAAAATCAATAATTGTAGTTAAAAATTAGCAAATAATTTAGGGAAACTCTTTAACTAATAATCCATAATTATTTTTTAAATAACTAATTAAAATTAAGAAATTAATCTATGAAAAAAATCCTCCAAAACTATTTACATAATAATCCATTATTATTCAACTAGATAATTATCAAAAAATTAGGAAATTAATATATAAGAAATTGATTCATAATTATTTAAATAACAATCCATGATTATTATTTCATTAAATAATTTAAGAAACAGTCTATCCACACCTATCTAGACCACTTGGTTGATTTCAATCATACCCATGTTACATTATTAACAACAAGTGATTTACTTTTAATTAAAAATAATATAATTTATCATAATTACATTAATTTACTATAATTACATTTTCTATGATTAATAGTAAATAATTTAGGCTTAAAAAGTAAATAATTTACATTAATTAATTCTTATTGTAAATAATTAATTTACTATATATTACTACTAATCAATAGCAATTTTAATTATTTTTTTGGAAATTATCACAAAATATTGTAATTTATTATTAATTAATTAGTTATAGAAAATTATTAGGATTGTAGGAATGACAATTTTCCCTATAAAACTAGGCCCTACCTTGCTGGTCCCAGATAGGCAAATTTTCTCGATTCTTAAATAGGGTTTGCATATAATTTCCTAAACCCGATGATAAATTAATAAAATATCCATAGATTTAATATTGATCTTTAAAATATTTCTAAAATTTGCTCATATTCTTATAATTCTAATATATCATAATTTCATTTATAAAAAACTCCAAATTATCGTAATCCAATTCTTAAAATATCCTTAAATTCCTATAATCCTATTTATAAAATATTTATAAATTAAAGAATTTAGGAATTCTCCATCTCACCCCGAAGGCCCGAACTCACCCCGCCACTGTAGTGGGGGCGGGGATGTAGGACCGAAACTAGGAATTTGCTCACTGCTGTCTTGTACTCTTCCGTTGACACTGAGCGTGGGGTGTGCGTGCCATATGTAATTACGTATCATTAGGAGCGCACTGCGCACATCTGGTCCAGCAGGGCCGGAGAAAAGAATTCAGTCTTTCCGTTCTTCACTCGGAGATGGAATGTGAATGGATGAAGATTTGATGATGACGGAGATGCTGAGTAGACCTTCTGGCGATCTCGATCTAGATTCGTTTCTGCAGATACATAGCAGCAGCGATGACGACGACCTCAGTGGTGTCCCCCATCGCACCGTCGATGAAATCCTAAACGACTCTGATTCATCATCTTCTTCTTCGTCAACCTTGTTCGACAGTGCCGCGTTTCGTCGCGGACGCTTTTCCAATATCCCAACATCTGGAAACAATTTAAGTTCATTTCCGAAAGAGGAGAGTCAGATTCATGACGATGACGCTTCGGTATGCAGTCATGAATCCCTTTCAGTTTCCCGAATTTCGATAGTTGACGAAACCCTAAAATCCCGAGAAGCCCTAAACTCTGCACAGTTGGAGGAGAAATCTATTGATTCGAATACGAGTTCTCTTAGACGAATAAGATCTGATGAACCTTCTGGTAATACGTTCTCCTTGGGTCGGAGTGCTTCCCGCCCCTTTTCTCCCCTGTTCGGTGGAGTTAAAGCAAACCCTAAGCCTGGAGCTGCCCTGGCTGCTGCTGCGGCCGCTTCACGTTCTATCCCCACTCCTCATGCAGCTGCGATCAAGTCGAGAAGAGCGAGCAGTAGTATTCAGCGGAAACTTCTTCATACTGAAGAATTAGATAATTCAGTTGGTGAGTTGAACACTTTTTTAGATGGAAATGCCCATGTTGACGAGCCGTCTCATTCAGGCGGTGCTTGCGATGGTTTTGGATCTGGAATTATTCTGGTAGGTAGGAAATTAAGCGAGGAAGATGAAAAAGTGAGAAAATTTCCATCTTCCAGTGCAGAATCAATAGTGCTGGAATTCTGTGGAGGAGATGAAGTTACAGAAAATTCACATGAGAGTAATGAAGTTTCCTGTCTTAAAGATATGCAAATTGAACGGGCGCAAGCTTCGGAATCAGATGGAACTGGATTACTTTCCCAGGAAAATTTATCGAATCTCAATTCTTCCACTTCCACAAGCATTGTTGAACCACAGGCCACTTCACCTATTGGGACTGCTGAGGTTCTCGATACGGATGAGAAATCTGAAATTTCAAATTCAACTAATATTAAAAAAGAGAACCATCCTTCTTTTTCTACAAACGAGAATGCTCACAAGGAGGATCTGAGTTCTAATGTTTCAGATTCTATTTCTCTTGAAAAGGATATTCCTTCTTCCCCTAGATACGAGAAAGCTAAAAGACTGCAAGATGATTTAGTAGTTCAGGGACTGGGAATACACGATTCAGAGAAGAGTGTGTCATCCGATACCAAAGATGGAGAAGTCAGTTTTGTGGGTGATGATACCAGTTCAAGAAGTGGCATTACTGAGCTTGTTGAAGATAAATTTCTTCAATTGGAGAGCAAGAGGGTAAGTAAAAAAACAGCAAAGAAATTGCGGCCCTCTAAGAAGCCACTAGAACTAGCTGAGGAACTTGAGAAAAAGCATGCTTCTTCTGGTTTGCATTGGGAAGAGGGAGCTGCTGCCCAGCCAATGAGGCTAGAAGGTATTCGAAGGGGCCCACCTGCAGTTGGTTATTTGCATATTGATCCTGACAATGCAATTACACGAGCCATTTCGTCTCAGGCATTCAGGCGTGACCATGGTTCTCCACAAGTTCTAGCCGTTCATGCCAACTTCATTGCCGTGGGCATGTCTAAAGGAGTTATTATTGTCGTTCCCAGTAAATATTCTGCTCATAGTGCTGATAATATGGATTATAAGGTTACTTCTTAGTTTTGTCATTTATTTTTCCTTCTTTGCATCTTGTGGCTACTCCTTGAGCAATTTTCTCCTACTATTATGTTGTTATGATCCTTATTCTAGTAACGGGGATCTTACAGCTTCAGGTGTAGTTTTTCATTGATATTGTCAAAACATGGACCTGAACGATTCAGGGTACACGTTCTTTTAAACCATAGGCCATCAAATCAGTTCATACTAACCACTTCCTCAACAGCCTTTCTGACATACCCCTAAATCTTTAAAACCTACCAGGGGGATTCTGAAAATGCCATTAGATAGATGGGTTATATTGTAGGTGGCATTTGGAGACCAAGAGATAACTCAATGTGATAATTTCCGGTGCCTTGGTTTAACAATTCATAATAAGGGAGAGATTGAGGAGAATGCCACCCAAAGAATTAGAGCAGATTGGGCAAAATGGAGGGATGCATCTGGACTTTTGTGTGATAGGTGAAACAACATGTCTGGCTGTGTTGTATGGAGTAGAGTGTTGGGCAGTCAAGAAACAACATTTCTAGAAAATGAATGTGGCAGAAGCACAAATGGTAAGATGGAGGAATGGAAAAACTAGAAAGGGTAAGATTAGGAATGAAGTCATCCGTAGGAACCTAGGAGTAGCTCCAAAAGGTGATAAAATGAGAGAGAGTAGACTAAGATGGTTTGATCATGATGTAACACACATAGAAGACCACCAACAACTCCAATTAGAAGAAGCGATTTGTTACAAGTGGAAGGGGCTAGCAGAGGTAGAGGTAGTCTAGAAAGGACATGGGTATAAGTAGTAGGAAATGATTTAAGCACTAATAATTTAGCAGTGGATAGGACAAATGGGTTTTTTTTTTTCTTCCCTGAAGACTGGGTAGCCTTTCTCCCAATCTCTTGTGGGTAAAATATTGAAATTTTCGTTATTGATCTTTAATAAAAGTTCTCATTATTGATCAGAAGAAGAAAAAGAAACCTATGTTTTATGGTTTGTTGTCCTTGGATTGATTTTATTACCCTCTAGTAACAGTTAAGTTTATCCAATTCCCATTTCTGCAAAATTTTTGTTTCTCTTTTTAATCATGTCTTTATTATTGCAAGATTTCATCCAATTTCAAATATCAAAATCTCATCTTCCAGTTCATCTTGTTCTTCAAAACAATACCCTTGCATTCTTGTGTTTTGTACTATTTTTTAGTATATGACCATTTAAGTCATTATTACAAGTGTTTTTATTCATCTGGAATTTGATGATCTAGCCCATCCTTCTCTCTTTTTTCCCTGAAGTTATCTCATAGGATCTGTTTAGATTGCCAGGTATAAGTGGAAAAATGGCAATGATCGTATGATCCAGTGGATAATGGTATGACTAGGGAGTAATCATTCCATTATTCATTGAACTAGTGGAAAAGGTGGAATAAAATTTGTTCAGTATGTGACCATTTAAGTCATGATTACAAGTGTTTTCTATTCATCTGGAATTTGATGGTCTAGCCCATCCTCCTCTCTTTTTTCCCTGAAGTTGTCTCGTAGGATCTGTTTAGATTGCCAGGTGTAAGTGGAAAAATGCCAGATTCTATGATCAAGTGGATAATGGTATGACTAGGGATCTTGCCACTATGCTAAAACTATATGGGAATGGGTTTTCTCACTTTTTGGGTGTAGCTGGAACCCTCCTATGAATGTACAAAGCTTGTTTTCTCCTTCCTTTTTAATCTGGCCAATGAAAAGAGGTAGGATCATGTGGAGGTGTCTGAGGGCTGCGGTGTGTTGGACATTATGGGAAGAAAGAAACTCAAGATTTTTTTTTTCAGAAAAGGAGAGAAACATTGAGAACCTAATAGAGTTGATCCATATTAGGGTGGTACGTTGGCTGAAATCTCTGGATTTATTCATGGACTTCACCATGGATGACCTGTTGAGGAGTTGGAAAGAGATAGCAAGTTCTGCCCAGATTAAAAGGGATACAAGTCCCTCTTGGATACCTCCCCATTCGGGCTTCCTAAAAGGCTAAAACTGAATTTTGATGGCAGCAGCCTTGGGAACCCAGGTTTGTTGGGTATTGGGGGAGTTTTCAGGAATGAGGAAGGGATTATTTGAGCTATTTACTTTGGCCCTATTAGAGGGGGTAACTTCATTAGGGCTGAGATTTTTATGGCATTGGAGGGAGTTCAAAGAGCAAAAGACCTGAACATTAGGAGGCTGATAATTGAAGGGGACTCAGAGGTCGTGGTAAGATGGCTAAAGGAAGACAAGACTGCAATGTGGAATCACAACAATGAAAGGAAAAAGCTTAAATGGTTGGCAAAAGATATGGAGATAAAATTCAATTGGGTGAAGAGATCTGCTAACTCCTTTGCGGATGGGCTAGCAAAGCAAGGGGTGACTAGGGATTTTTTATTGTGGGCTCATTTCTAATCTTGTAATTTTGCTTTGATGGTTGCAGGGGAGTTAAGATATGTTACCTCCCTCTGCTTGTATGTATATTATAATTCCTTTTAAATCTTAATGAAATTCCATGTTATTTATAAAAAAAAGATAATGGTATGACTGGGGATTAATCATTCCATTATCCATTGAACTAATGGAAAAGGTGGAATAAAATTTGCTACTTCTTGCATTTCACAATCTTTTTTCAAAGCTTAACAACAGAGTATGGAAACAAAGGATGCACGAGTCCTTTTCTGTCCTGCTTATCCATTTCCACTCTTGTGCAAAGCATCTTAGTGCTTCATCTGGTGCTACTTAAGGTTCAGATGATTGGTCACATTACTTCTATCCTTTCCTAAGGCAAATCAAATCATTATTATCTTACCCCCATTCTGTTGACATCCAAGGTTCAAAATATCGATACAAGCCGATATGCCGGTAGGGGTGTATTGGCCTGTATCTTTGCTTGCATTTTATTTATTTATTTTTATTATTTCTTTGAAACTGGTTCAGAGGGGCTGATTTACCCCCTGAACTAGACCAAACCCCGAAACACCCCCTGTAGGGGCGTATCGGGAAGCCTCCGATACGATACGTATCGGTCGATACACCCCGATACATTGCAATTTTTTGATCCTTGTTGACATCTATAGTTTCTCATTTAAATATTTTATATTTGCCTTGCCCACCTAATTTGGGATCAAAGGTTGATAAAAGGTAAGCCAACTATATACCCTTCTCTAGGTCTATATGGGTGTCCATGCAATTCTTGAAACATGATAGCCATTGTAAATTCAGTGGCTGTACAAAGAATTGCTTCGGAAGAAGGGTTTCGACATTTCAGACATGCTGTGTTCCCTTTGCAACCGAGAGGCTGAGATGTCAAATCATCTTTTCTTGAACTGTAAATTCGAACCATTTTCTCAAAGCAGTTTGTTAGATGAATGGCAGGTTGTTGGCATGACAAAGAAAGGGAAAGTCAGTTGGTCTGCCATCACCTTGGCAATTTTATGGGCAATCTGGCTCAAGAGAAATTGCAGAATTTAGGAGCAAAAAACTTCATCAGAAGCAGAAGTCATCAACCGGGCTGTTGGACTTCTCTGAGATTGGTTGTCTATTCATAACACTTTCAAGGATGACACTTTGGATGTTTTTTTTTTTGAGGGTGAATTTCTTTTGAGGTCCTTTTTTGGCTTATACGTGTACATATACTCTTTGTATGGTGAACCTTTTGTTCAAATGAATATGTTATACTTTATCTTTCTTCAAAAAAAAATAAAAGATTCAATCTGATTCAGTTCTCTTTGGAGTGAAATCTTTTGATTGGTTCTTCAGGCTTGTTGGCTATCTGGATGTTTTTAGGACTTAGAAGACTTATTCTAGCAAGTATTTCTTTTTTTAGTTCCATCCTTTAGGAAAATACACATTTTGCTGCAAAGGTAGAATCTTGGGCTGACAAGCATGAGAAAATAGGTTTTAGTATGTGAACTGCCACTTTATGCAAGAAAATGCTGAGTATTAGGTTTTTATCCGGTTCACCCTCCCAAGACCCTCAATAGATTGGGTAAATTTTCTTTATTGATGTGTTTGGTGCTGAGTTAAAGCTTATGAATGTTCTAGCTCCCAGAGAAACCTTGTGGTGCTGACTCCATTAGGACCTCTTTTTTAGACTTGGCATGTATTTTATTTTTAAGTTGAATTTTAATTTACTAGAATCTTTGTTAATATTTCAGTTTTAGGACCTTTTTTCTTTTTTTAATTAGGACCACATGTTGCAATTCTGTTTCTACTTTCAATCAAAATAGCTCAGACCTATTAAGATATGTTTCATATGTTCCAGATGTCCATACTTGGTGCTCATGGTGAAAAATCTCATTCCCCTGTAACTTCTATGTGCTTCAATCAGCAAGGGGACCTGCTATTGGCAGGATATGGTGATGGTCATATAACTGTTTGGGATGTTCAGAGGGAAGCAGTAGCAAAAGTAATCACAGGGGGACATACAGCACCAGTTGTACATACACTATTTCTAGGGCAAGATTCTCAAGTTACACGTCAGTTTAAAGCAGTTACTGGTGATTGCAAAGGTCTTGTTCTTTTACATGCTTTCTCAGTGTTTCCCTTGTTTAATAAGATCACCATCAAAACACAGGTTTGTTGTCTTTTCCTGGGAAGTTGCTGTTTGTAGACCTTGAACTTCATTCTTTCTAAATTTCACACATTTATTTGTCAAAATTGTTCTTCTTCACTGTATAATGAACTTTCTGCCTATTGTTTGAACAGTGCCTTCTTGATGGGCAAAGAACAGGTACTGTACTTACTGCGTCTCCTCTTCTGCTTTATGAATCCCATGAGGGTAATCCAATATCTGCACAAGGAAATGCTACGACTTCTGCCAGTGGTATTGGTAGCATGATGGGGGGTGTCGTAGGAGGTGTAGTTGGGGGAGAAGCTGGTTGGAAAATCTTAAGTGAAGGGTCTTCTTTGGTTGATGAAGGTGTGGTCATATTTGTCACCCATCAAACTGCTCTGGTGGTATGGATTCCTGAGATAAAGTATACTAAATCCAAATGCCCATTTAACTTAGCAACTCATCCTTTTTTGATAATCACTTGTCAACTTGTCCTTGCTACTGTGTTGACTTCATGCTTGCAACATGTTGAAGATGCATATCTTTCTTGTAGGCAAGGCTGAGTCCAACTTTGGAGGTCTATGCCCAACTTTCTAAGCCAGATGGAGTTCGGGAAGGTTCTATGCCTTATACTGCATGGAAATGTATGACACAACCCCAGGGTTCCTCCACTGGTAAGACATAATTCATTTATCAGTCTTAATTTATTAGAAACATGTAAAAAAAGTTCTGTGCTGGGTGCTGACCTTTCAAAACTTTATCTGGACTTGGTGCCTGCATTTCCAAGCAAAGCTTGAAAATTAATTGGATTTTCAAACAAGTTTTTTTATATACATTTTTAAATATGGTTTTGTAACAGAAAGTTTTCCTGGGGAGACATTTGAGAAAGTTTCGTTGCTTGCAATTGCATGGGATAGGAAGATTCAAGTAGCAAAGTTGGTTAAATCAGAATTGAAAATATACAAGGAATGGACACTTGACAGTGTAGCAATTGGTGTGCAGTGGTTGGATGATCAGGTATGATATCTGTATTTGTCTTTTCTTTATATCCGTTATTACACATTTTGCAATATAGTTTTATTTCCTTATCTTTTTTCTTTTTTTGTTTTCTGACCTTGTGTGGTTAATGCATGCATGGGAATGCTTTCTTTTACCTGCTCTTAGATTTACAGGATTTTGAAGGTCTCGTATTTCTTGCAGATGTTGGTAGTTCTGACACTGAGAGGACAGCTGTGTTTGTTTGCTAAGGAAGGAACTGAATTGCATCGAACAAGTTTTGCTGTAGATGGTTCTGGAGGAGTTGACATCATTACATATCATACATACTTCACTAATGTTTTTGGTAACCCTGAGAAGGCGTATCACAATTGTGTTGCTGCAAGAGGAGCTAGCATATACATGCTTGGGCCTATGCATCTAGTGGTTTCTCGTCTTCTTCCATGGAAGGAACGCATTCAGGTTCTTCGAAGGGCAGGTGACTGGATGGGTGCACTAGACATGGCAATGAGGCTCTATGATGGCCATGCACATGGTGTCATTGATCTTCCCAGAACCTTGGATGCCATACAGGAGACCATAATGCCCTATCTGGTGGAGTTGCTGTTATCATACGTAGATGAAGTATTTTCTTATATTTCAGTGGCATTCTGCAACCAAATTGAAAAGGTAGAACAAGTGAATGACCCAAAGAGTATAAGAAGCTCTGTACACTCAGAGATGGAAGAACAATTTGCACGTGTTGGTGGTGTTGCAGTAGAGTTTTGTGTTCATATAAAAAGGATCGACATTCTTTTTGATGACATCTTCTCCAAATTTATGGCTGTTAAACATGGAGGTATTTTTCATGATAATACATGCAGGATGCTATGCATCTAGGATGTGATAAAATATTTTTTTAATCAGCAATGCAAATGTGAAACTCATTATGAAAAGAGTTATCCCTGCAACCTCAACAAGTAAATTGCAGGGTACAAAGAGAAGAGCATATAGCTATAATAGAACTTTACAAACCTCCTCCCAGATCTGGTGTACCGCATACAAGATTGTCCCTTGTAATCCCAGATCTAGCTAATGAATCTGCTTGGGAATTAACAGATCTTGGAACTTTTTTTTGGACAAGTGTTCTGGGAACCTATTTGAACAAGCAGTTCAGATTTGTAGTCAAGGCTTTTTTGTTTTCTAACCAGAAACCTTAGTGCCTGTGATGTTCTGATGTTTCTTCCCCTGATGTAATCCAGTTACCACTACTTGACACCCCTTCTACTTGTAGATATATCAATTCAACCTTAATTGCAGCTAACTTTAGCCCTTGTAGTAATACTGGAAACTCTGCTCTCAGTTTTCATTACCAACAAAGTCTGAGAAGCAAGCTATGTAATATGCTTATTCCATCATCTTTAACTATAGGTGCAACTTGGGTGGGCTCGAGTTGGGCTTTTTTCAAAATTTGAATGGGCCCGGCTTGATGCCTGAGCCTAAAGCAATGTAAAATGCTAACTCGGGCCAACCTGAGTTGTACTCCTATTTAGCCACACTTCTGATACCTCACATCCTTGGGTTGCCTAAGCTGCTGCACCCATCAAAGTTTAATTTCTATAACCTTGCTCTAGAGGCTTAGGGACATATTGACATATCGATATTCTAGATTGATGTTTGTGACACTTGTTATGGTGATGACCCAGTTTAATGCCTCAGAGTCCTACGTTCAGATTTAGGGGGCGTGTTATGATGGAAATTCAGGTGATTTTCAGACTTTTTTGAAAGAACAGGGAATTAAATCTAGGAGATCTTGCCTTGGTACCCCACAACAGAACTAGGTGGAAGAACAGAAGGGGCATATTTTGAGTGTGGTGAGGACCGTTCTTTCTGACTTTCAACACCTAATTCCTTTTGGGCGGAGGCAGCCAACACTGTTGTGTTTCTTAAATTTGTTTCCTTCGTCTATATTACACAATTCTTCACCATATGGATGCTTGTTTCATCGTTCTCCTGATTTTTCTATGCTCCATGTGTTTGTATGTGTTTGTTTTGTTAACTTACCTCATGAGCATACAAAGCTTACTCCTTAGGTGGTAATGTATGCTTTTGTGGGATATAACTTTGATCAGAAGGGTTTTCTTTGTTGCAATCCCTAGCTTCATCATGTGCTTATCTCTTGGGACATAGTCTTTTTGGAAAATATCTCTTTCTTTTCTCACATGGCAAAATATCTACTTCTTCTGGTTTGTCTTTGTAGTCTTTTGATTTTGCAGGTCCAGTGGATCTTCGTCTTCATTTGTTCCTTCTACACGACCATTCTAGGTCTACATGAAGGGACATCAAATTGCTCTAGCCCCTACACCTCTGCCCTCTTCACTTCTAGTTATTGGATCTATGTCTCCTATTGATTTAGTAAGAACTCCACTCTCTTCTACTCCTGATCCATTTCCTACCTTAGATCCACCTTTATGTCTTTCTACTCGTGTTTGATGCCCACCTGACCGCTATGGCTTCCCATCTAGCCACAAGTCTTTTTATGCTGTGTTGTCTTCTACAGAAATTCCCGAGACTTACCAACAAGCTATGGATGTTGAAGTTCAAGCATTACTGGAAAATGATACATGGGACTAGGTTCATCCTTTACAAAATGCTTTTGTTATTAGCAGTTGTTGGGTGTACTCAATAAAATTGAAGTCAGATGGGAGCCTTGCTTGATATAAAGATTGCCTAGTTGCACTAGGTTATAAGTAAGAATATGGCACTGACTACGAAGAGACTTTTGCTCTTGTAGCAAAAAGTGACCATTGTGTGTATAATCCTTGCTATCTCTGCTATTAAGAAGTGGCTTATTCATCAGAAGAATGTAAAAAATGCCTTTTTGCTTGGGGATTTGAAGGAGGCATTTTATATGATGCCACCTCTTGAGTATAATGCTGCACTTGAGTTGGTTTGCTGATTGAAGAAGCCTTTTTAGGGCCTCAAATAAGCACCTAAGGTTTGGTTTGAGAAATTTAGATCCATGTCCACCGTTATTGATGTTGAGTTTACTTTGGGTTTTGCATACTATTCTTTGTTCTCCCTGAGAAGTTCTTGTGGCATCACTCTATTGTTCGTATATATGGATGATATTTTGTTATTGGAGATGATGCTAGTGGTATTTATTCCTTGAAACAAACTCTTAGTTACTCATTCAAGATGAAAGATCTTGGTCATGTATCTTACTTCTTGGGCTTAGAAGTGTCTCATTCTAATCATGGGCACTTTGTGTAGGTAGGATAGTGTTCTCGTTGGCAGACGATCAAGTCTCCGAAAGTCTGGAGGAGGCGACGGGGAAGAGAGAGGACGTGGGGAAGAGAGGAGAAAAGAGGAGAGAAGGGGGTTGCCTCCTTGTGAGAAACCCTAGGTCAAAGTTGTATTGTGTTGTCTCTCTAGGGAAGAATTGCTCTCCCCTTTTATAGAGAAAAAGCCAAGGCTATATAAGGAGAATGACTTAAAAGGAGACCTTTCCTGTTAGGAAAGGAGATCTTTCCTTTATGTTTGACTATTAAGGGAGCATTATTGGGGTTTCACCACGTGTCTAGTGAGATCCTTTGAAGATAGGGTTTCCTTTCCCTTAAGATCCTCTATGTACGCTATTTCTTTTGTGGCCCTTTTATACTGACGTGGTGCGAGTGACGTCGTTGTTCGGTGGGCGCGCTTTTATTAAACCCACACACGTAATTTAAAGATGCATGTGTGATCGACTTTATCGTAGGTTTATGTTTGTCTAAGGTTCATCGCGGATTCACTTTAGCCGAAGTTCATCGTGACCTATTTTGAGTATGAACTCATTGCAAACGTGCAATGGGTTATGGATTCATCGTAGGCATCCGTATAGTGTTGGTTTGACACCCTCTGTACTCTGATGGTCTTAGTGACCACTATGTACCTACACTTTGTCAATCAACAATATGCTCTTGATTTAGTGAAACCAACCTCTTTGATGGATGCTAAACAAGTTGATACACCTCTTGAACTTAATCATAAGCTCTCTAAGGAATATAGCAAGCTCCTTGCTGATGCTACCTCTTAACGACATCTGGTTGGTAGTCTGATATACCTTACAATGACTCAACCGAACATTTCATATGCAGTTCAAATTGTTAGTTAGTTTGTTTCTACCCTGTGGAAGCCTCATATGTTAGCAATTCATTGGATTATCCGTTATATTCAAGGGACCCTGACCTCTTCTTTTCTTCATCCTTCCCATTCACTTTTAAGGCCTATGTTGATGTTGATTGGGCTAGGTGCTCTGACACTAGATGCTCTACTACGGGGTGGTGTGTTTTTCTTGGACATTCCTTAATATCATGAAAGTGTAAGAAACAACAAATTGTCTCTAAATAATCTATTGAGGCAAAGTACCGCACAATGCCCTTAACTTGTAGTGAATTGGTGTGGCTCCGTGCTTTCTTGAATGACATTAGTCTTTCTTATTCTTCTCCTATCCCTTTCTAAGCAGATAATACGGTGCAATCAAGATTGCCTTAAACCCAGTATTATATGAAAGAACAAAACGTATTGAGGTTGATTGCCACTTCATTAGGGATCTTTACCTTGTAGGCCATATTATCCTTCCTCATGCGTCTTTTGGTCTTCAATTGGTTGATTTCATTATGAAAGCTCTGACACATGCTCGCCATCAATTTCTCAATGACAAACTAATGCTTATTTCCCGACATTAGTTTGAGGGGGGATTTAGAGATATGGGGTGATGGGACCATGTTTATATTGTATATTGCTTGTATCTTATCTTGTTGTATTTTCTCCTTTTCTCCTTGCTTCTATTTGTATTTCTCTTGTTTGTGAGGGACATAACCTCCTTTCACACTATTTTGAGTTAATATAATTTGTTCTTTTTTGGACAGGTGAAGTTACACATCCGATTCAACTATGTGTCATTTGAACTGCTCTAACATGGATAAGCACAGGGAAGATGGACAAAATTATACTATAGTCAATAGGGCTATGCAATTTGACCTAGAAAGGTTTCCTGGGTCAAAATTTCTGATAAATGCAGAAATCTCTGGTGATGAATAGTGAGAATTGCCAAAAAAACTTGGAATTTGTTTGCAAGAAGAGGGTGGGGGGAGGGTTCAAACAGTCAAGAGGGAGTAATGATGGGGATGACTAAGGGTTTCAATTAGAAAAAGAAGTTAAAGTAGGGGTGTGGCTTAAGGAAGGACAAACTGTGTCAATGAAAGCAATGTGATGGATTCTTCCATGAGAGTTAGAATCCCTATTTGTGGGTTGGACCACTTTTATAAAAATCCTAAGTGGATTGATCATGTATGCAATCTCTCAAAATGAAGTTCTCTTAACATAAATGATAGTTGGGGCGTACTATCACATTAGGCAGAACTGAAGAATACACTTGGGGGGGGGGGGKGGAGCTTGTCCATTGTAAATAAATTAGGGTCGAGCCTATCCATTGTAAACTTATTCCTGTAGAGTTCAGCAAGAGAATTTTGCAATCTTTTAATGTTTTTTTATATGTATTAATGTTTCATATATACTCATATTTTAAGCATACTTTATGTTGGAACAGCTAATGTATTAGATACAACTATATCATCTAGATCATATTACATAATTGCCTATGGTTCTAAAATACTTAATTTTTTGTCTGCTTATGACCTTTCAATGGCACTAGGTACATTTTTGGAGCTCTTGGAGCCATATATATTGAAGGATATGCTTGGGTGTCTACCTCCTGAGGTATAGCTTATGGTTAGTTAGTTGCCTTGATGGCAGGTAAATTGGAATACAATAATCTCTTATACTCTTTTGTGTTTTAATTTATTTTGTAGATTATGCAAGCATTGGTAGAGCACTACAGTGAAAAAGGATGGTTGCAACGAGTTGAACAATGTGTTCTTCATATGGACATTTCTTCCTTGGACTTCAATCAAGTGCTCTTTCTTTCCTCTGTTTTAGGAAGTAGGATGTTGAGTGACAATTGATTGCTTGGCCCTCTTCTCTGGTGTTTTTTTTTTCCTTCTCATCTATTTGTTTTATCTTGTAGGTAGTTAGGTTATGCCAGGAGCATGGATTATACGGTGCCTTAATATATCTTTTCAATCGAGGTTTAGATGATTTCAAGGCACCTTTGGAGGAGCTCTTGCAGGTTCTGCGAAATAGCCAAGGGGATGATGCAGTTGCTATTGGGTATGCAGCTTAAATCTGTTGCATATCTACAAGAAACAGTAGATTTTGGCATTGAGCACTATATTATTTTCCCCTATTTTTCTCCTCTTAAATCTTATGCTTTTATCATGTCAATATTTCTTCTTGATGCATGGTGCTTGAATCTGAAACAGGTAATTGGTTTTTTTTTGTTTGATGGTGTTCCATTTTTTTCTCTTTTTTGTTGAACCTTTTTTTTCTTCTTGACCTTTTTCAAACACTTTCATTGCTGTAAATAACTAAAAAATGGGTATCATGGAAATTTATTTAGGGGCTGCATTGATTTTATATATCACTTGGATAGCAAGATTTTACCGTAACTACAATAAATGGACTTGTTATTTCTACTTTTCATACTTATTTTAATTTCATTTTTCATAATGTTGATTTTCTATTGCACTCCTTAAAGTGTTTTTTTTTTTGTTTTTGAATTTGTAAGCAGGTACCGAATTCTTGTTTATCTGAAGTATTGCTTTTCGGGTCTTGCTTTTCCTCCAGGTATGCAAGGGATTATAATTAGTAAAGTTTGTGGAAGTAAAGTTCTGCTTTATTTGCATATGAAAATGGGAAATAATACTTTATTTATTTTCATCTTTCCAATTTTTCAGAAGGAAATCTTGGCAATATGCTCCTAGAGGTTCTTATTCAATAATGTGGATAAGTGGATGTTCAGTTCCTTTACTTTAACTGTATTGTTTTTCTCATCCTAAAAACAAGGGTAACACCTATTAAAATACATTAATCTTTGTCAGACTTTAAAGGGTGGTGCTTGTCCAAGTTATTCCATTTGGGTGGTTATGGTGTTTTCATTAAAAAGAAAATTGACCACAACATTGCTCACCTCCTGATATATGTGCAATAATTGGAGCCTGAAAAGCAATTAACCTTATATTTTCAATCATGGATCTGATTTTCCACAATGTGCATACTGCATCTGGGGTTACCTCCACCACCTCTTTTAGAATTTCTCCAAGAATGATTCTTTGACCTTGAATTGGTTCTGAATTGAGTATTGTGTTCTGAGCTGCTCAACATTCTTCCATCCCGATTACTGATGCTTTACAAATGGTGATTTGACTCGTTATTATGTAGAATTCCTCCTATGAGGCAGCATTGTCTTCTTTTACCAGAAGCATGGGTTGTAAAATAGGTATTTTTTGGTACATCTTGTAAATTGACTCATTTTCAAGGAAAAGCCAGTTTTAGGGTTTCAGAGTCCAAGTTCTGATCCCTTGTTTTCAAGATTATTTTTGAGAAGTCATAAAGGGTTCTTTACATGAAGATGTAATGAGCTGCTGTTCTTCACATGAGAAGTCATAATGGCCTTGAATAGAACTAGGCCGAATGTTTCCTTGTTTTTATCAGCTCTTCCAAATCCTGAGGCTCCTAGTGGCTTTTTTTTTTTGTTTTTGATAATAAAGATAAAGTTTTATTAAAGTATTAAAGAGTATTACACGGAGATGGGTAATAAGATAGCATTTCCTAGCAGCTATCATATCACTACTCAAAAACCTCTCCCCAATAAAAAAATCACCACTCAATTTTTACTCCACCTTGCCGAACACATAAACTCAACTCCTTTTTCCCACAACACCTGAAATGTTTAACTTCCTACAGGCCCCCCAAACTGCATGATGCTCTCTTTAGTATAAGTGCATAACACCACCCAATCCTATTCACTATCACATGACAATCAATTCCTAACTTGGTCCCTCAAATCTCTCTAGTATCCAATACCCCAAATTCCAAGCTTCCCCAAACTTCTGATCAAGGTTTAAAATGTCAGTGCGGTGGAAATGTCGGTCGTCCAAATGTAGGAAACATGTTGGAAATGTCAGAAATATCGTTGGAAATATTGTAAAATTATAGGCATGGTAGAAACATTGTAAAATATGCAAAAATATAAATGATGTTTTATGAAATGATATAAGATGCATGGGCGTGCCTTTTTAAATTATTATCCTGTTCCAAATCATTAAACAAAGCTAAGAAGCTAAGGTTATAGAGAAAGGAATATGTTTGGAGGGTTGTCCTTTAAACCTTAAGATTCAAGATTTCATGATAGAATGAGTTAAAGCAACATTTAAGCTCATAAAAAATGTAAATGGTTGTAATAGATCAACCAAATAATCTATTACCCACACAAGGTGCCAGCCAGCTGGTTGTTAAGGTCTCCTGCTGGTCATAGTGGAGACTTGGGATCAAATCCCGCCTGCACTTGGGTTGGGGGATGGGCTACCCCCCATTGTGTAGCCCTTCAGAAGATACCAAAAAAAATCTATTACATAAAAAAAAACTAATATTTAACTTCATGTTTGAAATGACAAATGAATGTTGTGCTGGCTCAAAGTGGTATCATGTAAGTTAGGCAGGCAATAACATTGTTACTCCACATATCTCCAATATTGTCACCAACTTATGTTATAATTCTATCTATTATACTCTTTATAGTGCTGGTAGTGTTCATTGGGGAATACGTCGATTCCAGTAAAATTTTATTTTGCTACCTATGGAAGTTTAAATGGAAATATGTTGTGGAAACTATCTCCTGTACTCCACATAGTGCTAGTAGTGTTCATTGGGGAATACGTTGATTCCATTTCGTGTTGCTACCCATGCAAATGGAAATACGTTGTGGGAATTTTAGGGAATTTAGGGACATTTTAAACCATGCTCATACATACCAAGTGGGCCACCTTGCTTGCAATAAATTTTATCAGAATCTCCTTATCTTTGTTTTTGTTCCTTAAGAGTTATAACATTTCTTTCTTCCCAAATTGAGCAAAGGGCTACTATTCTCAAACATCTTTATGTTTGCAATCATCTACATAACAGCCCTTTCTTTGCTGAGACCTTGTGGCTGCCAGCTCGTGAGTGTCCATCTCACTCAAATAGAGGAAAAATGTTGCCAACTTGCCATATTCCCAAAGCATATGTGCTGGAGATTAAGAGTTGATGATTAGCCAAACCATGAGAGTTGTTGCAAAGAGAACAAATGCAAGGTGATAGCCACTTAGAGGCTATGTTAGTCATCTAGTAGTTGCGTAGTTATTCTTCATGTACTGCATCTGAATGATGCTTATGCATGTAAACAGAAATTCTCCTACTATTGGGGAACAAAATTGTCATTACCTTGACCAAGTTGTTAACTATATTATATTTAAGGCTGGTTACATCAAACATGTGAAGCTTAATGATTTGTGGTTATTGCTTAAAAATGATATCAAAACTAAGTTTGTCCATGGGATCTTCCCTAACCTTGCACAAGGTCAATTTATAGAATATATATATATATTCACAATGTTTGACTTTTACATGTTACTTAGTTCATATCAGAAATTGCAACATCAGAAGCTTTCCATGGCTTTATACTCGTAATCTTGTAATCAAATGATTAGAAAATACTCAGATGTGCTTTCTTGGTGGTTGAAATGAACCTGCATCACTCTAAAATGTTTTTGAGGTTTTGTCTTCTGTATAAATTGGAAACTCAGTACTTGTCTAGGAATACAATAAAACTCCTAAAGATAAGGCACTAAAGCATTAAATATATGCTTTGCAGGACATGGTTCCATTCCTCCCACCCGCCTACCATCACTTAGGGCAGAACTTATGCAATTCCTCATAGAGGATTCTAATGACTTGAATTCAGAAGTTGTAGCAGGCACAAAATCATCTACTGGAACTTGCCCAAATCTGTATCCTCTCTTATTGTTGGATACTGAAGCAACTTTACAAGTTATTAGTTGTGCTTTCTTGGAAGAAGAAGTTCCTAGATCTGACCATTCTTTCCATGGATCAGATACTAACTCGGAGGATGTCAAAGAAAATGATCCAAAGATAGAAAGTCTGGATTTAATGGTCCAAAACACAGTAGACACCCTTATTCATATTCTTGATTTGGAAATATCTGAAGTAGAAAGATCTTCTGGCATTGATGACACAGGTTACCCAGAAATATGGCCTTCAAAGAAGGATATGGCTCATCTGCTCGAGTTCATTGCTTACTTTGTTGCATGTAAACAGGCTACTGTTTCAAAAAGTGTACTGAGTCATATCTTAGAATACTTGACATCAGAGAGTAGTCTCTCACTGAGCGTTCACCATCAGAAAACTGAAACCTTGAAAAGAAGAGAGAAACATGTTATTGCTCTTTTGAAAGTGGTGCCTGAGACAAACTGGGATTCATCATATGTTTTACATCTCTGTGAGAAAGCAGAATTTCACCAGGTATATTTCTCCATGTCAAGTGTTAGTTTAACATTTTTTCACATAGTTTGCTAATACACTATCATTTTCAAATGCCTTAGAATTGTAAAAGATCCAATATTGTATTGTTTTTTACTCAGTGTCACTTCATGAGAATAATTCATCATCATTCTAAAAGATTGATTTATATGACAATATACAGGTATGTGGTTTAATACATGCTAGGAGAGGTCAGTATATTGCAGCTTTAGATAGCTATTTGAAAGATACTGATGAACCCATCCATGCCTTTTCTTTTATCAATGACATGTTACGACTGCTGAGGGATACTGAATCGACTCAATTTCAGTCGGCAGTAATCTCTCGAATTCCTGATCTGGTTAACTTGAGCAGGTGAATTCTGTGAGTGCTATTTCTTTTTATCCATTGTTATTCCATAACTTGTATCTTAACTCATAACATCACACTTTTCTTGTTGCCTATTGCAGAGAAGGAGCATTCTTTTTGGTCATTGAACATTTCAATAAAGAATATCATCAAATCTTGGCTGGACTTCGATCTCATCCAAAAAGCCTGTTCCTTTATTTAAAAACAATCATTGAGATTCATTTGGCTGGCACACTCAACTTTTCTTCTTTGGAGAAAGGAGATAACCTAGATGTTTCATGTGGAAAAAGGTTGAAGGACCATACCAATGGACATGAGGCTTACTTGGCAAGGATTTCTGATTTCCCAAAGCTTCTACGTCAAAATCCAGTCCATGTGACTGATGAAATGATTGAACTTTATCTTGAGGTTAGCATTTCCTGAGTTGGGGATATGATTAACAATTGAATAGTTGTCTTATATGTATGGGATTTATATTTTGTTTTCAGGTACTTTAAATTGGAATTTGAATTCCTTATTATAATTGGGTTTGTTTGTCGTGATTGTCATTGTTAGTCTTCCCAACCCCAACTTTTGTTATGATCTATAATGGAATAACTCATGTTCTGCAGACAACTTAGTGTATCTTGTCTTCTTTGCCTCAGACTTCCAACTAGTCTTCTGCATATTTCATTCTGTTTTGGTTGATAAAAAAATTGAACTCTGTTCTGGATTACTAATTGTGTGGTTTGAACTTATTATTTTTGGTTCTTGGACTATATTATCTATCATAAGTATCTGCATCTATCATCAGATTGTTGTTTCTGGAAAATGGATTAAAATAGTGTAAATATCTGCTTAGTGGCTTGTCAGTATTGTGATGTTGCAATGTTGACTCATCTTATCTCATAGGATTCAATTGTTCAAATGGTTCTCCTGCCACTCTAATTTCTATGGTATTCCTGAGTTTCTTTTTCTTATCTTTTAATGCATCTGAGAACCGTGAATTATAAGTATAGCGTTACTGCTTTTCATATGCATGCATTTTGTCCTGTGCAGCTCTTATGCCAGTATGAACGCCAATCAGTTCTCAAATTTTTGGAGACTTTTGAAAGCTATAGGGTGGAACATTGTTTACGCCTATGCCAGGAATATGGGGTTATAGATGCTGCTGCTTTCTTGCTGGAAAGAGTTGGTGATGTTGGGAGTGCATTATTACTTACTCTTTCTGGCCTCAATGAAAAGTTTACCATACTAGATGCTGCTGTAGAAAGAATAATTTCTGATATACCTTTAAGTGGGACTACTGAGATAGAACAGCTCAACTCTGTTTTAAGGATGGAGGAGGTTTATAAACTTGACCTTTTATACTGGAAAGATTGGTTGTACTTTATGGGTGATTATCTAATCATGTTTCATGTATTGCCACTGTTATTCAGGTAGATGCCATACATGATATATTGCAAACTTCTATTGGGTTATGCCAACGGAATACCCAGCGGTTGGACCCTAACGAGTCAGAGTCTCTCTGGTTCCATCTACTTGATTCGTAAGTTTAATAGTTATCACCTGTGTGTCCTTTAATGTGCTTAATTTTCTATAGAAATTTAGCATCAATTGCATGTTTCATTAAGCATTTGATCATTGAATCACAACAGTTTTTTATTTTGTTAATTTTTTAGGATTATATCTTCTGATATTCTATATGAGCGATTTTGTACAAGCAATACGGAGTTTTCTAGTTGGATTGATTGGTTATCCAGATCCTTTAGGAGTATTTCAAAATTTTCAACTTATATGATGAACTCTTTATGAATAGAGATCCTTATATGATAATTGCATGTTATTATTGACTCTTTTAAATTCCCTTTCTAAAAGAATCTGCCATCTGATGAGAATGCAGATTGCAGAGTATAGATTTGAGCTACTTGAAATTCTGAAATCATTTAAAAAATATTCAGCTTAAGCCAAAGTTGTTATTTAAGGAATTTTAAGAATTAATCACTCAATAGACGTTTAAGAAGTAAAAAACTAGATTTTGGGTTTAGTGACTCTAAACTTTGATGGGAGCTGTTTGGGAAACCCTGGCCCATCGGGCATTGGTGGGGTAATAAGGGAGGAGAATGGAAATATCATTATTCATTGCCATGTTCTCAGGCCCTACCCAGTATGGTGATGTGGTGAATTCAGAATTGAAGGCAGCAGTGTTTGGTGTTGAGAAAACTAAAGAGTTGGGGATTGACAGGTTGATTATTGAAGGGGACTCAAAAGTCGTTGTAAACTGGCTCAAAAAAGAGGAAGGAGCAATCTGGAGATTAAAGAAATGAATTCAGGCACTTTAAGCAGGCTTCTAAAGACATGGAAATTCACATAAGATGGATTAGGAGGTCAGCTAATAGCATAGCTGATGGTCTAGCTAAGCAAGGAGTCCATAGGCAATCTATGTTCTGGGCTACGTTGTAGCTAGTTGGATATCCCTCAGGTCCTTTTGGGGCTTGCTTGTAACTAATGAATTTCTTTGTTGGGTTAAGCTTGGGTCTGTATTGTAATTAGTGGGGTTTAGGTGGACTTTAAGTCTACTCACAACTTGTTGTACACATTCTGATGATCTAATGGATCTTTTTGTGTTGCTGATAAAAAAAAGTTGAATATGAGAAACATAAAGGTGAAAGATGACTCTCGAACAATAGTGGGCTTGCCGAGAAATGTTGGCAAGGAACTTGGCAATACCAGCACACCTTGAGGGAAATCAAGAATGAAGCAAAGGAGATGGTTATCTTGATTGGATGGGTATCTAGATCATCAAACTGCATGGCTGATGATTCATTTGCAAAACAAGGGGCAAGAAGGGAGGAAATGTACTGTGGGGGTTTCAAATGAAAATTGGTTGTAATAGATGTTAACAATGATAATTATCAGAAAAAAAGATGTAAACAATGATAGAGGGAGCCAGGGAAGGCAAAAAAGTACGAATTTACACTTATAAAATAATACAAATTTACAGTATCATTGTAAATTCTGCACATTTTTCCATAAAAAAGTAAATGTTACCAATTGAAGAAAGTACAAATTTACTTGGTTATTTTTTGGCATCTCAAGTCAACTCAGTGTTGAAAGCAAAAAGTAGATTGACTGGATATGTTATTATTAAGTGGTAAATAAAATAAATCTGTTGAATAGATGAAGATATCATCTGTAAGCATGAAATTGGCGAAGTGGGTTCAATACTTCATTTGAAGATCCATACTTGAGGTATGCTATGAAGAAGACCAGGCTGGTGTTTTCCTCCCCCATAAGTGCCTTCTTTTTAGGAGTATTCTCTTTGTTTGGATGTAGGTGGGTCCTCCAGATAATGTGGACAGGGTATTTGAAGATTCATTAATTTAACTACCAAAAGCAAGTGGAAGAATCTTATGAAAGTGTTCTAAGGTGGCTGTAATTTGGGTGTAGGAAGAAAATGCAAGAATATTCTTGGAACAATCCTACTCAAAGGAGGCACTAATGGAAAATGTCATGGTCCAAGTGGTTGATAGATAAAAAACTTTTTTTTGTTTGAAGATAAATAAAAAATAAAATTTATTCAAGAAAAAAAGGTACAGAAGAGGTGATGAGAAATCACCCGACCCATAAAAAACTTTGCCCTTCTTTGCTGTTTTCCTCTTGAGGTCATTGTGAGGGGTTTGCATCAAATAACTAATTCTACATCTGCAAGAATAGCTACAAATTATCTTTAGCAGTGGCTGTCTCAAATCAGCTCAAATTGAATGTTGTTAGTTACAGCCTTACAGGAAGAGTTGGAAGAGTGGGCATTGGTAATTGGTGGGGTAAAGGGATGCATATTGGTTTATTGTTGCATTATACTCGGGCCCAATAGGATGCGGTGAGGCTTTGAAAGCTGAGCTGATGGCTTTACTTTATGTTTTCAGGTTGGCAGGTTTCTTAACTTTGGCAATTTTTTGGCATAAGGAATTCTGCATTATAGTGAGCTGTTTATTGAATTGTGATCAAGGATCGTGAAGGTACTAGAACTAAGAGTGATAAAGAGTCTGGTAAGGGAATTGAGGGTGATTATGCAGATATTAGTAAGCTGATCACAAGGATGAAGAGTGGAGAAAGATAGAGTGGTGATTATGCATTTGAAATTTGTAGATGATATCATTTTGTTCTGTTTTGGAGAAGATCAATGGATTAGGAATTTGAGACTTGTGCAACTCTTTGAACAGATTTCAAACTTGAAAATTAATCTTGACAATGGTTGTATTGCGGGAATCAATCTAGATGAGAGGGTATTAAGGGAGTATGCAAGTATCATAGAGTGCTCAATCTTCACTTGGCCAATGAAATATCTTGGATTGCCACTAGGGGTGAACCCTAGGGATCACTCTTTTTGAAGCCCGGTATTAGAGAGATTTTCTAAGAGATAACTTGTGTTGAAGAGAAGGTACATATTCTTGGGGCGGGGGGGGGGGGGGGGGGGGGGTGGTGCAGAATAACTTTGATTAAGGCCACCTTGTCTAAACTTCCTGTTTATTTTTTGTTGATGTTTAAGATTTCTCAAAAAGTGGGCAAGGAGATTGAAAAAAACTGAGGGACTTTTTTATGGGTCCTAAGAGATGTGAAAAAGGTCCACCTATTCAAATGGGATGTGGTTTGTAAAAATAAAGGTCAAGGTGTGTTAAGAGTTGGAAAGATTGAGAAGGGAATTGTGACACTTTTGGGTAAGTGATTATGGAGATTGCCTAGGGAGAAAGATAGGCTTTATCATAAAGTGACTCCTTTAGTAGTCACGTGAGTGTTGAGATGAAGGGTGCGGTGGCAGACAATAGCAAGAGTGTATCTTAGTCCTCAAACCAGACTCAGACATTGGGAGAGTTGAGGAAATCGACTAACCAATCGTTACAATGGATTCCTAGACAAAAAAAATCCAAATTTCTTGCTGATCAAAAAAAAAAAAAAGAAAGAGGATAGAGATAAGTTATGGGTTAAGGTAGTCTTGAGTATTCATGGGCAAGCGGCTGATGGGTGGGATGTGGGAGTTTTGGCAAGGGCTACAAGAGCTTCTTCTTGGAGATCCATTCATGTCATCCTACTTCCCTTCTTGCTTTTATCAGGTATGGCATTTGTTTTGGGAATTCTGTAAAATTTTGAGAACATTTTTGGGTGGGAGATGTGCCTTTGAAAGAACATTTACTTCCTTGTTTCCCTTTCCTTGTTTAAGAAGGACTAGGAGGCAGTTCCAACCTTTTTGGTCTCATCTGACTCTAGTTTTAGGTATGATTGGGATTTTGGATTTAGAAGGGGTCTCAGGGATTCGGAAGCTGAGAATGCATCGGCTTTGATTCAGATTTTGAGTGGGGTGATTATTGATCCCTTGGGGAGGATAGTAGGATTCGGACCTTAAATTCTTTTGGTGTGTTTTCTTGTGCATCTTTTTTCAAAGCTCTAGTGCAGTCCCTTGATAGTGTTGGACAAGATTTTCCTATATTGGAGGTTTGGGGTAAACTGATTTCTCCCAGTGTTGGAGCTCTGTTGGGAAGTTGTCTTGGAAAGGTGCAACACGATTTTCTCCAAAGAAAGAGATCAACTTGGTGCTTATCCCCCAATTGGTGTATCCTCTCTAAAGCTAATAGTGAGAGCTACTACCACTTATTAATCTCCTACCCTTTTAGTTCAGTTATTTGGAATTGGTTTCTCTCTTTGTTTGGTTGTAGTTGGACATTCCTGCCAAGTGTACAAGGTCTGTTTACTTCTTCCTTTGTTAGGTGGCATGAGAGAGGGGCAGAATAATATGGAGGTGTGTTAGAGCTGCCATCTGTTGGACAATTTGGGAAAAAAGGAACTCATGCATATTTTCTAGAAAGGAGAGGAGCGAGGACATAATTGAAGTAGTCAGTATTAGTGTCCATTGTGGTTTCCACCAGCTTCTTATTTTATTAAGTTGAACTTTGATGGAAGTAGTGAATGTAATCTGAGACCCTCAGGCATTGGAGGAACATTCAGAGATGAGGAAGGGAAGGCTATGCAATGTTTTCAGGTCCAATTGGTGTAGGGCATTTACTTAGAGTTGAATATCATAAATTTAATTGTTGAAGGAGACTCAAAAGTGGTTATAGGTTGGTTGCAAAAGGAGGAAATTGTATTATGGAAGTTTTCCAATGAAAAAGAAAGTTCAAATTGGCTATCTCAGAATCTAGAGATTCAGCTGCAGTGGGTTAAAAGAAGTGCTAACTCTTTTGCGGATGCTCTTGCTAAACAAGGGGTGTGAAGGGATCAAATATTCTTGGCTGTATTGTGATTCTGTTTTTTGTTTTTCCTGGGGAGGGTTAGGGGATTTTACTCCTCCCCTTGCTTCTTCTATACCTTTTCTATTAATTCTTTAATAAAAGTTTCCATTATTGATAAAAGAAAGTGATTCACAACATTTAATTGGACAGGTGGGATGCTAAGTTGCCGCTAGGGCTACAAGGAGAATCCCTTGGAAATCCATCAATGCAATTCTTCCTTAGTTCCTTCCTTTTAAGTTATGATGTTTGCTTAGGCAATCAAATG